ACATTTTGATGTACTATCAAATATAACATTTTGATACCATTTCAAGTAAAAAGTTTTAATACACTATCAAATATAAAATTTTAATAAACTATCAAGTAAAATGTTTAAATAAACTATCAAGTATAAAGATTTGATAAACTAAATGTATCAATTATCAAGTCAGTTAACATGGAATTCCTAGACTTTCTTGCAGATACTTATTTTAGGAGTTACAATTACCTTAAAAGGATTTTCTACTACGAACAATCTATAAGCCCCTTTATCACACACCCGTGCCGATTTTGCGACTCCGTAGAAATGGTATTGCACGTCTGTGCATATTTTTTGACGTGACGTCATTAGCGTTATACAAACATAGTGTAAAATGGCGCTAAATTTTAGCGTTATACTATAGGCCCGTCAATGAAAAAATGACTCTTTTTTCACTTTCTACCGTCTTTACTTTGGGTATGTGATAAAAAGAAGATAAATAAAATAATATTATATTCAACTCGTTCAATAAATTCAGTATTGAACTTACACTCATTCAATATCCTCTATTTAATGATAGATAACGTATCATTCTTAATTGATGAGCTTTATAAATGCATTTAAATCTAAAATTCATAAAACATATTTAATCCTCATTATAGATGAAGATTTTCGTTATGTCTGCAATGATGCAAGGTTAAAATGAATGAAGAAATGTATTTTATGCTGCTGACGTTTGTATAATTATGTTATTGCTAGACATAATACAAAACAAACAACAACATCACAAACATACAAAATATGTCTATGCTACTATTTTAGCAAGAAGAACAAATAATACAAATTTTAAGTACATGGTTAAGGTAATAAGATAAATAATTTAAATATCCCAATTCTTGAAATTGTTTACGTATACCAAAGTCCTATGAGATTTTCCAGTTAGACCAAGTCAATTTTATAGCCATTATAACACTGTCTGATGCAAGCAATCATTTGTATTATATCCCAGCATGCCATTATTTGTCTGTCACTTTAACAGGAAACTGTAGTAAAAGTTGTAGACTACAGATCCAGTTTCGCACTGATTGTTTTAGACTCTTGTCTTAATGGATTTTTCTTATGTTATTAGAAGGTTAGTGCCACTGTAAAAATGGCAGACCTATAACTTGACAAATGGGAAGGAAATCATGAGTGCATTTCAATTTGAATGTAAAAATATACATAATAACAAGTCTTTTACGGTGTTTGTTGTTGATGTTTGTTTGGGGTTTTTTTTATTTGTTGCTTAATTTTTTTTTTAAATTTTGTTGATTTTGTTTTGGTTTTTTGTTGTTGTTGTTGTTGTTTTGTTTTGTTTTTTGTTTTTGTGATTTTGGTTTTTGTTGCTATTTTTTAGGGGGGAGGGAGGTTACAATAGAGGATATAGCGTAATATGAAAACTCTTTCTACTGAGTACTGTTTCATCATTTTAAATTTTTTAAATATCTTTATTTTGAACTTTATTTTATTGATAGTTTACTTTTTGAAGATATATGTTCAGCAAATGTTTTATTGCAAAGCATGTGAACAATAAATTCTAAGCATAAAAACCAGAGACCTATTTAATCGTATCTTAATTGAAATTATCAAATGAAGAAAACATTCGTTTATAACTGACACTAATCAGAAGTGGGCTATGAACTTTTTCAAACACAATTATTTATTTCAAAGCGCCATGAAGAACGTGCACCTCGTCCAAAGTTCATCTTCAATATCTACTAATGTATAGACTTGTATTTTTACTAACCAAGTTAAGCATATTAGTGTTGAATGTATACTAGGTAAAGGTTAAATATTTACAGAAAATAAAAAATTCACCAAAGTATAACTAGGAACATGTAATATATTTTCTTGATTACACATGTTTAATTTTCTCATGATTAAATGTCCAACATTATGCCATAGTCAAAATAGAACTAGTTCAATATTTTAACTAAGGAATGATGTGACATTTTGTATCAAAGAATATTTTAATATCATTTAGGTCACATTTTAACCTTCTTTGTCTCATGCGTCGAAATGATTTATGTGTAAATTAAAAGTCCCTATAAAATCTAGCATTTAATGAAAAACGGCAGTTGTTCAAATGAAAAAGTCTGCATAAAATTTTAATTATCCAACAAAGTCAAGCAAAGAGAATGAAGTGCTCCCAAAATGAGCATTATACATTTAAAACTCGATATCAGTAATACAAAATTCAAAGGAAGTATCTTTTAAAACGATACTCGATTGAAATAAAACTTTTTTACATGCAAAATTGTATTTCTAAGTTTTCAATACAAAAAGAAATGTTAGCAATGCTTGCATTACAATGATATGATATTTATTTCTTGTAGCTATTAAGAAAACACCCATTTTGTTAACATTGAAATTGAATTATAGCATATTGATATTGATGATTTTTCAAAGAAGAACAACTTTTATTTAAGGTGTCCCTTTTCACTTGTTTTACGTTTGACTTTATAAATTTTGAAATATATCATTTACAAATTAACCTAAAATTTAAAGAATTATCCTCATTCCTGTACATTTCATTTTAGAACTATCCTTTACATTTTATTTTATAGTGGCAAAACTATCCCTCACATTTTATCATAGAGCTATCCATAAAATTTATTTAAGAATGGTAAGAACTATCCTTTACATTTTATTTTAGAATGATTAGAACTGTCCTTTACAATTTATTTTAGGATAACCAATGAGATTCTCTGATTTCAGTTTATAATTTTAAAATGACTAATGAAAATTCTTCTTTTATTTAATTTTACCCATGAAATATGATGCTATATCAGTCAATTATATTTCATATTTTTCAAAAAATAAATATGAAATATAAATATGAAAGTGGTCGGAGTCCAAACTCATATTTAATTTAAAGGACTTCTTTCGCCATTTTTTTTTTTTTTTTTTGAAAAATCTGATAAATACAAAACAACTTTTTGTTGAATTTGCCCTTGTTTTTTTTCATGCCGCCACAAACATGGCGTTGTTCATATAGCCGACAGGTAAACTGGCAAAACAATCTTGTTTATATTTTTTTCAATTAATTTGTAAAGAATTGCTTCTACTTCCACGTATAACGGTATTTTAATACGTATTCTTATGCCTATGTAAAAACCGGTTTGATTGCATGGCTAAAATCCGAATAATAAAGAAGGCGAATCTTCAGATCTACATAAAAGAAATAAGTAGATCTGAACTTTAGTCACATTAATATCTGCCTCAATCTCGATCATGCGGATACATGGAAGGCTATTGATTGGCTACAACTTGTAAATATTACATACAGAATATAATAGTACTACGTTTTTTGGTCGTACCATTATGATATAATGGGTTGTGCAAGTTATCTAATTCTTACATTTTGCTTATTTATTGCAATATAATAGAAAAAATTGGGGAAATGGAAAGAAAAACCCGTGTAACATAGTGGTTCTAGCATTCAGATCATGAACAAATGCGTTTCGAGTTAGAATCTGCAAATGCGCACATTTTAGTATGATTTTTTTTCTTGTCGAATAATTTTGTAAAGTTTTAAAATTATTTTGAACTGTGTTCTCAAACAAATGTACGTGTATGAAATTCAAAAAGGAACTATAATCAAGTAACTTGAAAAATATTTAAAACATATAATACAATCAAATAAACAATTACTAAGATTCGACAGGGTCTTTAACGCTATTACGTCGATATAAATGAGTAATGGTTAAGTTTGTTAAATATTCAGGCGATATATACATGTAGTTTGCTTTTATATATAGAATTATCGACACCCACTTTGTCAATATTGATGTGAACAGACAATGAAAAGAAAAGCAAATTCGACTTTTTTATACATGGCAAATGTTAAATAAGGAGTATTAAATTAATAACTAGTATTTGTTATCTGTCGTCTGCTTTGGTGCGAAGAACTAATTATAACTGTGACGAATGGGTAGGTAGTGTAGGCGACCTATATTACAGTTATAGTTATAACTGTGACGGATGGGTAGGCAGAGTAAAAGGAGTATCTTATTACGGGGCAAAATTGAGCACAGTAATTGTGTAGGTCATTTTCCAGCTTAATATGTATTTTTTTTTATAAAAAAGATCTATTTAAAACTCGCTGTGCCGAATATTGCCCTTGAGGCCAAAAAAACAGGTTGTTTGTTTCTTTTGACAGAATTAATAATCTATCTAAAAATTACTTTAAAAAAAACCCCAAAAAATACTTGTCTATGTAATTTTCCAATTTAATGCTGATTGTATGTGGCTGAAATTTTATGAAAATGTAAACTTGATACACAGGCTTGTAAACAGGCTTAATCAAACCGAGCCTGCTACATTTTCTATTTTGCCGTGTTGGGCTTTCTTTCGGGATTCTTATCTTCTCTATTTTACATTGAAATAAAAATGAGAATAACCCAGTACATTTAATTGCTGATAGTGAAGTAATGGAACAGCTGGCTTTACTAATCTCAGATATAACGATGCTTGTGTTTGGATATTCTTTGGGCTGCGTTTCTTGTCATTTTGAGTTTAAAAGCCAACCTTTCTACTGAACAAAACCGCAGTGCATTTTTGTTGTTGTTGTTTTTATTTTGTATGCACATCTCACCAATCCTAATATTCAGTTTAATATACAATTTAACAAAAATAACATTTGAAAAGTTTCTTGCTGCGTTGTTTCATACCACGTCTTTATGTTGTTACATAAATTGGGATCAATGATCCCAATAAGTTTTCTATAGGGAATTCATCTGGTGCTAAAACATATCTCTTATCAAGCCGAGTCATTGATTCTCACCTCTTTCATTTGTTTTAACGATATATCAGAGGTCTTCTTTTACAAGATCATTTAACCTGTTTAAGTTACAAGTTATGCCTATCTATATTATAATATTTTTCGATATGAATCATAATAAAAATTAGCATGTAATGTTTTTTTTCGCAATTATGAACATGAACCGAACCGTAAATAAGTATTGCCTGAATTTAAACAACTTTTAAATCGAGTTACTGCTTAAAATTGATTAGAGATTCAGAGTAGAATATTTTTACCTGTCAACTGTTTAAGAGAACGTTGAAGCGAAAATGTTGAGTTTGCAAACAGCAGTGATTCTAACGTACGTTTCATTTTGTGTTGCACAAACACCAGTATATGTGAACACAACGGTTGGAAATATCATGGGATTTCAAGAGCAGATTACTCTTAACGGAGAACAGAAATTGATTTATAAATTTCTTGGTATTCCGTTTGCCGAATCAACAGGTGGACGAAACAGATTTAGGAAACCGGTTCCGAAAGCTCCATTTAAAGAGACGTTTAACGCAAGTAAGGAACCAGCGGCTTGTTACCAGCAGTCGGAACAATTTAATGCTTTATATAGATATTACGGTGTCTCTGGATTTTCCGAGGATTGTCTGACACTGAACATTTATGTTCCACATGAGCTTCAAGTCAGCGACCTACGACCGGTTATGATTTGGGTGTATGGTGGGGGTTTCGTCCAAGGCGCATCGACAGCATATAAACCTGAAGCGTTAGCCCTATTTGGAAACGTAATCATTGTATCTATCAACTACCGTATAGGTATGCTAGGATTTCTACGTGACCCACACGGAGTTTTTCCTGGAAACCAAGGTCTATGGGACCAGCACCTTGCTTTTAAGTGGGTGCATGATAATATTGAAGCTTTCTTTGGCAGAAAGGAAGAAATAACAATATTTGGCCAATCAGCAGGCGCGGGTTCCGTTATGTTACAAGCATTGTATCCGGGAAATAACGGTTTATTCAAAAGGGTCATCGCAGAAAGTGGTTCTGCAATCGCACCATGGGCTATAAATAAAGCATCAATTTACGATGGATATATCAAAGATCAAGGCTGTGATCCAACTTCAAAAACATTGGCTTCTTGTCTGCAGTCAAGGAATCTTACATCACTACAATCTGATATGACAAGTATTGGTCCAGTTGTAGACGGAGAATTTTTAGTTGCATCTCCCATTGAGATAATGGATGGTACCTCTAGAAAAACTGCTAGAGCTAGAGACTTCTTCGCTTCGTTGGACATACTAATTGGTGCTAATGATATAGATGGCAGTGGATATTACTATCTTTATCAGGCGGCACTTAACCATTCAACACTTGATTTCAATATAACGAAGGACGAATTCAAAGATAAAGTTGTTCCAATTATTATTGATTGGAACCTTTTCCCTGCTGACAAAAACACAAAAGTGGCATTAGAAAAGATTTTGACATATGCATATACCGACTGGAATGACCCGGACAATTACGTCAGTATACGACAAAATGCAATAGATTTACCTACTGACACAATTGCTTTTTCACCAGCGTTTATAACAGTACGTGCGCATGCCAGATTAAATGTCGGAAAGGCGTATTTATACGAGTTTGCAGTGCAAACAAGAACACATATTGTGCCCGTATCTTCGTGGATGAAAGGTACGTTTCTAAATAAATATTTTTTTGTTATTATGAATAATTAATAACTACTTTCTGGTTTTCTTTGCACATAAAACAATGAATAAAAAGATGGTGTTATTTGGACGTACTATAGCTAAAAAAAAGTCTTAACCAAATGAATTGCTTATTTGAACAATTGTATGTACACATTTTTTACTGGGTTAAACTTGCCTGTTTGTTAATGTAATTGATTTTGAAAATCTAAGAGAAACATAATTATGCCGTATTACGAAGCTTTCCAAGCTTTTTGTTATAATTTAGTTACTACTTATCTATGAAATAATACAATAAGTACTGTTCACCTGTTCGCCTGCAACTGAAACCTTAAAAGATGTAATTTGCGACGTCGACTTTTTTTGTTATTCTGTTAGCCGTATATTCTTTTATACGTATATGATTAACTGTCATGTGACAAAGAACATCATTTATGTTTCAGGATCTAATCACGGCGACGATTTACAGTTTGTTTTCGGTCTTCCGTTGCGTGAAAATGTGTCTATGATTGGTATCAGCAATTATAACTTTAGTTCGGAACAAAAGCAAGTAGCTAAAGCAACAATGGCTATGTGGTCAAACTTTGCAAGCTCAGGGTAAGATTTTGTACATTCATGTTTGTTTCAATGTCACGTGTTAGGATTTTGTTGTATTCAACGGCACAGATGAAAAATATGAAGAAAGATATAAGATCTGTAAGGCAAAATTAATTTCCTTCTCCGTCATTCAAATTCACTTCATATTTCGTACGTAATGTAACATACATAATAAAGAAACAACATTTATACAATTATTAAAATATTCATAGAGAAGACCCTTTTAAAGTTCGGAAAAAAGTGTGATGGAATCTGTTTATGGAAGACAGCGATGAATTCAAGCTCTGCCCAAATCTAAAAATACTGGCTTAATTAGAATTTGGCAGTGATTTTGAGAAACAGTCGGTTCCTTAATAAGAAGGCATCAATTTACATGTATTTATTTTAAAAAGCAAATTGTAAAAAATACAGGAAATGACGTCAAGATTTCATGTTCCATACCACTATATTAAGTCCATATACCTACTTTAAAGTCTTATGGAGACTCATTAATGTAGTTCGATACAAAATAAAAAGTAAGTGCAACTACAAAGCAAACATACAATTATGAAACCAAATTTTTGATGCATAGGTACTCTAAATCACGCGATGATACTTATTACAATATATTCCTTCTATTTATAGAAACCCTAACACACCAATGGATATTACAACATTTACGAATACCACGTGGCCAGCATATGATATGACGTCACAGCGTTATTTCCGGATATCCGATCAGATGTCTCCTGCATCAGTCATCGAAGGATTCTATCCTAGGAGAATGGCTTTATGGTCTGACGTAATTCCAGAAATTAGAAGACAACATTGTCCTGACAAAAAGCAACCGGACAATTTAGTCGGATCGGGCGCTGCGCTCTTTGAGCGTCGCTTTGCTTTGTGGATCTTAATTCCCATTCTTTTTATGTCGATAAATGAATTATTGTAGAAACAGACAACTTATCTGCTGTGTTATGCAGATTTAATAACCTTTGATCCCCCTTCAAATTTTCATTTTGTTTATTTATCTCGTTTAGAGCACAAACATGCTTTTATAACTTTTTAGATTACTTTAATCTATTTTTATAAAAAAGAAAACCCCGTTTCCTCTTAAGCTTACCTTGTTGGTTTAAAAAGTGATTAGCCTTTGTCACCAGTGTAGAGCCACGCCACCCCACATATCTGTGCAGTCTGTCTCAGTTCTACAATTGTTGACTGACAAGCTTTAACTTTTCATCTTGATAATCAAAATTGATAATTGACAGCCTTAAAAGTGAAAGTGATAATCAAAATTGATAATTGACAGCCTTAAAAGTGAAAGTGATAATCAAAATTGATAATTGACAGCCTTAAAAGTGAAAGTGATAATCAAAATTGATAATTGACAGCCTTAAAAGTGAAAGTGATAATCAAAATTGATAATTGACAGCCTTAAAAGTGAAAGTGATAATCAAAATTGATAATTGACAGTCTTAAAAGTAAAAGCTAGGCAAATCAATTGAAGACATCAGCAAGTAAAGTGGTAACAAAACTTGCAGCCTCTGTTTGCTCCTATCACAACCGAATATCTGGACTTATTTTTATAATATTCCTATTATACTTCACCATTTTCCCAAGTAGCTACTGAATGTTCATGGACAGTTGTCTAGGTGAATTATGCAGACAAGTTCATCCAAAATGCTTCAAGGTGTTCACGGCTGCTAGATATCCCGTTCTACGAGGTTTTGAATAAACAAATTGGATTTGTTACGAAACGGGAACATTCAGGAGAATAACGATGCACGCAATTATGAAGAAAATCATTATTTTTCATTTTGATCATTTTTTTCACTTTGATAAATATTGAATTTTTTGAATTTATATATAAATGTAATAATTAATGACAATTGTTTCATTCCAAGGAGAGAGTTTCTAAAAAAAAGTTCTAGCTCTCTACTTAATCCTTTTTGCATGCAATTGTAATTGTATTGTGTATATATGTTTGATTGAAATAAATATTGTTTAATAGAGATAATTATAGAATCCCCACAGAACGTACGAAACGACAAAATTGATAATGTTGCAGGCTTGGTTTGATTGGTCTTGTTCATGGACGGTAATGAAAGGTGCAAGTCACCGTCAACGCCCCTAGCGCAGACTGAATCAAAATTCAACATTTAATCATGGTAATGGTGACATTTTTAATTTAAAAACATCCGCAGATGTGTTCATGCGGCGGTCATCATGGAACCTTCAACTTGACACTTTCGTGCCATTTCATGAAAAGCGGCGTATGGTCCCCAAGTAAAAGAATGCGGGTGCCCTAAACAAGAAAACAATGGGCGTAACAAAATAAAGTAGAATTTTGAAATTTGATTAGAGATTATAAAGCTTGCATATCGCAGATAAGCTGTCAAATGACAAATTTAAAAAGCAGACCGCATATTTTTAAGATGATTAAACAGTATTCAAGTGAGAAATACTGGAACCACACAACTAGAAAATACCCGAATAGAAAGAACTAATAATTATCACAAGCACACAACAATAATGTCGTGCTGAGCGATCTTTAAGTATCGAAAATATAACATGCCTGATTAGATGTACGGGACGACTTTTTACAGCCTCCACACAGCACAAACAACGATGATGTGGCGATAAAATCCTTAAAGAACGCCCAAAACTACAAAATTGAAAATGTTGCAGGCTCAATGAAACTAATAGCAATAAACCGATTATAAGAAACTATCGGATTTTATTTAAAATAAAATCCGATATTATTGTTCTTATCTTTATTAATGTAAATGAAAGATTTTCCATTTTAGAGTTAATAAACCAAACATACACTACACACAAAATTGTACTTGGTGCTCTTCAATGGTAAATATTTTGAAATGATTAATTTCGAAATGTTCAGGAGTAGATTTTAATGTAAAAGAAGATAAAATATGATAAACAAGATCAACAAGGAAAGGCGGCGTTCAATGAACGCAACCCCCATATGACCCAGCAACAAGAACCAATGGCAAGGAGCCCAGGCGGACCCCAAACATAAAAAGGACAGGGCAAAGACAGGTTAATCATTAAATGATAAATAATTTGTAACTGATTAGGAATTCAAAGAAAATAATAATAGGCCCACAAAGGGGAAGGGGACCGGGGAAGGGGGGGGGGGTTAATCAAATAAATAAAAACTAGAGGCAATGGGGAAGATACTTACCGTAGACGAGAAAACAACAAGGGACACAAGCAAAAGTGTCACCAAAACAGTATTAAACAACATAGACATACATCTGAGGAACCTGCAATTTTATGTATAACCCTCATATTACGATGTTGCAGAAGATTTCATAAAATGAAAATATAAAACCATCAATAAAAATGAATTATACATGTAATAATTTTATTACGTTCTGATTGGGACATGTTTAAACATAATCATTTGTACTACCATTGTTACATCATTTGCTCTAAATTAACAGATCGTCACAGAAAAACTTTTTTCTCGAAGATAATACAACACATTTTACAAATCAATGTAACAGTTTAGACACTTTACATTTCGAGAAGCGTTAAAAATCCATACATTAAAAGTAAATATCTGATGTTGCAATATTTTATTTTATTGCTCTTTTCAGACTTTCTGCATGTCTATTGTCAAGAAATCAACATTTCATTTGTAATAATAGCTGCTGGTAAACGAGAAGATGTCAAATATGAAAGCATCTACAACATTATATTGTTCAAAATTGCAAATAAACACAAGGGAAATGAAGGCTATCACTTAGACATACATGTTAGCTTTATATTGATACTATATTCTTTAAATATGTTAACTTTAGTTTTTTTTATAGCTCACTATACATTGTCAACTCATAAACTGTAATACAAAACTGATTTGGAGAAGACAAGTCTGCCATAAAAATACGATCGTGCCTCCTTGGCTAGGGTTTAAATAATATTTGGATATATAATGGACAGAGTGAAATGTGTTTTTCACCACTTATTTCTTGGTTCAATAGATTTAAATATAATTTAATTTCGACTAAAGATGCATACCATGCCCTTCGGACTAAAACAACAACCTGAAATAGTTTATACCGATGTAAGATACACGACTAAAGCTAGTCTCCTTGGCATCTCATTAAGAGCAGCTCATACCTTTCTTAAACGTGATTTGAAAATGAGAAGGATCTGTACTAGATGGATTACCAATTTAATGACATGGGCAGAAAAAGGCTCGCGTGCAATGTGCTCAAATTTCAGAAAACAGAATTTCTAAGGAATGCCCAAAATGGCAAAATTGAAAATGTTGCAGGTTCGGTATGATTTAGCCTATTCTTTAACGGCACTGCAGGTTACCGTCCACGCCCCTAGCACCAGCTTAGGCAAATTTCAACATTTAAACCTTAAAATTATTAAATTTTCCATTTTAGAAACATCCGAAGGTGTTTTCATACGGCAGGTTTCATGATAATTTCAATGTGACACTTTCGTGTCATTCCTTGAAGCGGCGCATGGTCTCTAAATAAAAGAAAGTGTGTGCCCGTAATGAGAAAACTATGGTCATGCTAAATTATTGCTTAAACAGGATCTAAATTACAATGCACGCTCTTTTGCAATGTCAAAACTGGTGAGGAAATATGGATTCGTTTTTATGAGTCAAATTGAAACACCAAAACAAGATTTGGGCTACATAGTATGTCAAAAGACCAAGCACTAGTATACAGAAGTTAACATATGCCATTTTCTTTACAACTCGGGCTCCTGCCATTCGGGTAGTGTTCCAAAATGTAAATCTGTTTATAAAAGTTTTATAAGACAAATGTTCTCGAAAACTTAAAAATACTTTCGAAATCGATGGCCCGCAAACAGGTATGGTCAACACAATAACGAGAGTCATCGCACAAGACGTTTAGGTGCAAACTTTCTGAAGCGGAAAAAAGTCAATGTGCTCCCTCATCTTCCGTATTTACCTTGCCTTGCTCTTCGCGGCTTCTTCTTTTTTCAAAGATAAAATAAAAATTAAAAAAACTTTTAGATTGAAATATTGTTCAACGCAAACACCTGCAATATTTCAGTGTCTTAATAGTATTCTTAAAAAGTACTATGAAAATGCCCTCAAAGATTGGATTCGGAAACTTTGTATATCTGTCGGAGATGATGTTTTTTAGTGAAAACTACTAAGAATCAAATTATACTTGCTTTGATGCAATTATATTTGAAAACTCATCGTATTTCGTTTTGTGTGTACCAAACAGAAGGTTACAGTGAACATTTATTTGTCGGGTTTTACATGTTAATATTTCAAATTCTAGCAATTACAAGCAATACATAAGGACTACTAAGTAAAGCAAGAATTCGGACAAGGTTCATTTAGCAATAACATTGATCAATAATGCATAAAATTTTATTTCAGATCAAATATAAATTTGTTCACTTGCATTTCAATGTAGAAATAAAACAAAATACAATATGCAAAAATATAACAGTTGAAGTTATCCTATTGTTATATAATTATCCATTAAACAAACGTTTGCCTAACATATGACAAAATGTGCAATGAAACAAATATCTAAATGTCTTAACATGGAAACGTAAACTATCTGTAACAAAATATAAATGTAATTAAAAACATTCTAATTAATTTTAATTCAAATAATTATTTTAGTTTTACTTTTAGTTATTTAGTTGTTTAGTTCCAACATATATCCTTATGCTCTAATTCGTTACACTCAAACGAGCATAAATCATTTACATTCTTCAGTAATACACCTTTGAAATAATAAACAACACAACACAGAGTTTAAAGAGGCTAGAGGGAGTATTTGTAAGCCGTCTTGTCTCCGCTAACCGTTTATTTTCCCAACCAAACAAAGACAAAATTCTGGATATAAATCTACATATCAATTTTTGTTAAGACAAAAGTCCAAAAAAGCTTCCATATGACTTATAGTAATAAATTTTCTAAGCAAATTCATCTGCTAAAATATGCCAAATACTTCGTGTAAAAATAAAGAAATATAAACTTTCCAATATAACTGAATAAGAGAGTTTTGTAAAAACAGAAGCTTTTGGAAATGTTCGAAAGTCAGGTTGCTGCGAGCGGGATACCTAACCCTACTCCAACGTGGGAGGGGGAGGTATTGTTGAAGGATGAATCCAGGCTCAAGACCAACGGCTCCTTCGAACCTACCTGACATAAAACCCAAATTTAGCGGTCTAAATTTTTTTGTCATAATGGAAAAAGGAAACGAATTTTGAAAATTTTAAATAGACAAAGACACAGATAATTTCTCCCTGAAATAGACTCATTTCATGTACATAATTATATGAAAACAGAATAATAATTCACAATGAATCAAAATGGAATTAAATGAATATGGCTCACAGATTTTGAAAGTCCATTATTTATTTTGCGTATAAAGACACATGTTTACTTTGCTCCGAGCTGTTCATAATCCTGAAAAAGAAAACAATTGTAAGAAACATTTACAAAACTTCTGTATAATATAATCGAAAATTTTTCAATATTTTCGGAAATTTCACATCTAAACGGCTTGACATATAAACCTTGAATGCCCGCTTTACTAATTACAAGAAACTCGTGCACTATTGCCGCAAAAAACATAACTTCCGATTACTTCCTTATAAGGAAATATTAAGTTACGGTGTATGATTCCGATAATAAATACATTTATGTTCTTAAACTTAACCAGAAAATGTTCAAAACTCTAGGCAATAAGCAATAATATATAGTTAACTTTCTCTATTGAGGAGCATTTTACTGCATCATCTTATAAAGAGCGGAATTATTCAAGCAACCAGACTTGAGAGGAACCTGTTTCATGTAATAAGGGTCACTTTGAAATTTTTTTTTAACTTTTCAACATAAAAATAATCTTATGGAAGAAAATGAAATTACTTGAAAATTGAAAACTGATTTCATTGACTAATGAAAGTTACAACAACGAATCTTTACATCAATTTAAACATTGTAACTCTTAACAACATCATTCTTACATTTTTTGTTTTCATTGTTCTCTCGAGAAAGAGAAATGTTAAGTGCTGTGTGGCGCTGCCATAAAAAGTTGTCCAATACTACATCTGAGTGTTGCTGCAATACGTTGAATGTTAAACACTGTTCAATGTTTCATGTGAGAGGTGTCGCACTTTTCATTATCTCTTTTAAACAGACACAATCCATGTTCACCTTTTCATTTTTGTTTTCATTGCACTTGAGGGATCTTTCCTTTGCAGATTCTTAACAACAAAAATTACATTAAAAAACAATTATGTTTTAACATTTTGATG